GAGCCTCCTGGGACATTGGATTTCCATAGCAGAGAACACCACCGGCCAATCTAGCCAAACGTGGACGCTTCTGCAACAAAGACACATAGGTAAGATAAACTGACACAAGTCTGCCAGAAAGCATAATTGCATTTTTTTTTTTTTTGACAGGCAGAGTGGACAGTGAGAGAGAGAGAGAGAGAGAGAGAGAGAGAGAAAGGTCTTCCTTTGCCATTGGTTCACCCTCCAATGGCCGCCGCTGCAGCCGGCGCACCGCGCTGATCCGATGGCAGGAGCCAGGAGCCAGGTGCTTTTCCTGGTCTCCCATGGGGTGCAGGGCCCAAGCACCTGGGCCATCCTCCACTGCACTCCCTGGCCATAGCAGAGAGCTGGCCTGGAAGAGGGGCAACCGGGACAGAATCCGGCGCCCCAACCGGGACTAGAACCCGGTGTGCCGGCGCCGCTAGGCGGAGGATTAGCCTAGTGAGCCGCGGTGCCGGCCCATAATTGCATTTTGAATGAGAGGCAACAAAGTACTGGTTCCAACGGTCAAATAGGACCACGGGTCTATGTATTTCCTATTGTTAGGATCCAGAAATCAAGAGGCAGCTATGTGATGGTCCTTAATGCTAAAAAGAATATGCGTCTGTCCATCCATCATCATGATCTAAAAATGGTTTAAGGAGGCCTAAATAATGTAGAATAGCATAAATAAAAAGTGACTATTTAGAACAGGAAAACAAAGCTAAAGATGAAGATGTCACATACACCGGAAATGAAGCTCTAGGACATCACCCTAATCATCTCTATCGCAGCCGTTTCCGGTGGATCCGAGGTTGGCATGGAGCGTTTCAGCAGGCAGTGTGGGAGAGGGATTGTGCCTGCTCGATGTCACAAGTCCTGGGAACACAGATGAAGGCAGAGGAACGGCTCGGCACGGACACAGCTGTCTGTGGTCACGAGAGGCACAAGCTGCCACCCAGGGTCCCTGAGAAAGCACTGTGTCATCGGCACCCTCAGAACTTTCCTTGCAATCAATGCAACGAGCAGAGGCACGGGGCGGCAGGGCACGCTCACTCCCAGACAACGGTGTCACAACAGAGCACAGCCACCACAGCCAGACGGCCAGAGACCCAGACGGCCGGAGTTCAAATCCCAGCTGTGCCACTTACCAGCGGTGGGACCTCGATGCTATCCGAACTTGCCTAGGGTGCCTTGGTTTCCCAACCTGTGAGAAGGGGGCAATAGAACTGTGTACACTAAGAGAATTAACAAGCACTGTGTGAGGATACTTCAAAAAGTTTGTGGAAAAAATGGAATTAAGAGACAAGTCTATTTTGGTACAAGTAATGTGGAATTCAGCTTTTTCATACTATGCATTTTCCATGAACTCTTAAAAAAGATTCCTCATACTCATGAATTTAAAACATTTTTGCACCAAAATATACTTGTTTTCACATTCTATTTTCCAGGCCTTTTTTGAACTACTCTCATATTATGTTAGCATTTATCAACGAAGAATTTGGTAAAAGTAATGGAGGGGCAGGCATTTGGCAAAGTAATTAAGATTTTGCTTGGGATGTTGATGTCTTACATCAGTGCCTGGGTGTGAGTCCCAGCTCCACTCCCAATTTCAGCTTCCTGGTGATGTGCACCATGGGATGGGAGGGGGGCAGCAGGTGAGGGCTCAAGTAGTTGAGTTCCTGCCACCCAGGTAGGAAACCTGGAGTAAGCTCCTGGCTCCCAGCTTCAGCCTGACCCAGCCCTGGCTGTTGCAGGCATTTGGGGAGTGAATCAGCAGGTGGGAGATCTCTGTCAAATAAATGTGTAAATAAAAATTTTATAAAAGTACTTGGTGGGCCAGCGCTGAGGCGCAGCGAGTTAAAGCCCTGGCCTGCAGTGCTGGCATCCCATATGGGTTCCGGTTCGAAGACTTCTCTCTGTCTCTACCTCTCTCTCTCTTTCAAACAAATAATTTTTTTAAATAAAGAATGTAACATTAGTATCTTTATGCTGACCTGACTTAAATCCAAGTAGATTTCAGAACAGTATGGTCCCAAAGAACTTCCTGCAAAAACAGGAATGTTTTACATCTGTGCTGTCCTATCAAGCACTAGAAATGTGGCTGGTATTAATGAAACCTCAGTTTCTAATTTAAACAGCCATAGGTGGCTAGTGGCTACTGCACTAAGTAAAGAGAAAACTTCCTCCCTGCAGCTTGATTGGTCAATGCTGACCTGAAATACCCGTTCTCTCTAAACACTGTTATCAGCTACATTTCTTATGAAAACTGGGTAACAAGGAATTCAGACTGCAGTCCCTGGCATGTAACTGGGGTGCTGACAAATCTCTATTCCCAGGTCAATGGAGAGCCCACAGTCCCTGGCTGTGATGTGAAAAGCCCAGAGGAGGAACAGCTGAGCAGAACACCAGCCCGTGTGCTTTGAAGGAAGTCAAGGGCGTATCCACAGCAAGGCCAAGATCTTCCCTAGGAAACTGTGTTGGACCCACTCTGCAGCACAGAGGAACGAGCTTCTGCCAAAGTCCCACTTCACCTAGCACAGCTCAGACTGCTCTGGCCTGAACAGCTTTTCCAGGCGGTTTTTGCCAGATGCCTGCCACGTACCACTAACCTTGGGATCAGCTACTTCCTGGTATACCTTCCGAGGTAAACCATTTGGGAAAGGTACATCAAGATGGCTGAATAAGATAAGCTGTAGTATGGGTCATAGATAAGAGGGAGTCAATCAAATGACGTGTCATCGTAAGGCAAGGCAAAGTGACAGCAATGCATGATGAAATGCCTTTCAATATGTAAGTGTTCGAACACAACAGAAGAATTATGAAGTCACCAACACCTACAATAGAATTATGTTGGTGACAATGATCACTGGTAGCACTGCTGTTACTAACAAGAATTCTTAAAACAAGTATACTTTCTTGGTCAAGTTTTGATCAAGATAAAATCAAACAGAATGGGGGCCAGTGCACTGTTGGTGTAGTGGGTGAAGCTGCTGCCTGCAGTGCTGGCATCCCATACGGGCACCAGTTCTAGTCCCAGCTGCTCCACTTCTGATCCAGCTCTCTGCTTTGGCCTGGGAAAATAGTAGAAGATGGCCCAAGTCCTTGGGCCCCTGCACCCGCATGGGAGACCCAGAAGAAGCTCCAGGCTCCTAGCTTTGGATCATCATAGTTCCAGCCATTGCAGCCATCTGGGGAGTGAACCTGCGGGAGACCTCTTTCTCTTTCTCTGCCTCACTCTAACTCTGCCTTTCAAATAATAAATAAATCTAAAAAAAAAAAAAAAAAAAAGGGCAAACAGAATCTTCCCTTAATTATCCAGTAGTGGTATTCTTGGAAAATTCGTGACACATTAAAACTATACCCCAAAGTTTTTAACACAAGAATGACGAATAGGACATTCGGAAATCATACAAGACATGTAACACTACTGTGCTGTGTTAAACTGTCCCCCCCCACTGATTGCCAGTGGTGGCCTCAATCATTTTGAAAACATCAGTCAAGTCAATCAGATGAATTCTACCCATCTCACTGCTGCAACGGACTGGCTCAGCAATCCACGTGGAAGTCAGCCAGTGTACGGCATTGGTTCAAGACTAAGGTATGGGACACGTGGTCCAAGAAACAGGAGTTTCCTGGAGACTTAACAGCAAAATCTCCTCGGCTGGAGTCATGGTGAAGTCCGCCTCGCCATCTCTGCGCAGTTACAAATGGACGTGATGCCTGCAAATTCTGTACTCACGCCAGTACCAGCTGCAGGACACAGTCAGCTGAGCAGGAACGCAGGGCCAAACGCAAGGAGACCTGAACTAGAGACTTCGTGCTGCCTTCCTTGGGACCTCTCCTACCTCTGGACTTCCAGAGATGAACGTCAACAGATTTCCTGCTGTTGGAGCGGCTCTGAGTCTGGATTTCGGTTCTTGCAGTTAAAAGCACCTTGACATACATGTAAACCCCTTCACAAGTCACAGATTGAGGCCTATTTAAAAAAAAAAATCACCCTCACTAACCAAGGTGAACAGTGTTCCTCTGCACAGCGCATGTGTCAAGCGGCAGGCAAACTGTGGGAGAAAGACCAGCAGAGTTCACATGGGCAGTTTGCAGAGAATAAGGCCACTGAATCCGGAGACCAAATGCAGCTACAGGTAAAAAAAGTCAACAATGCTACCGGTATTTCTACACAAGGACCTCCGCAGGATGCACTGTGGATACAAAGTGCTGGAAACACAGTCAGTCCCTGCTCTCAGAAAATTTCTAATTAGAGACAAATGGGGAAAAAAATACATGTTTGTGTAGGAACAGACCAAGAGACGCACAATAAATATCATAAAACAGTATGATAAGCTCTGGGAACTGACAGAGAGGCGGGCAGCCAGACCTGGGTACCTGCGGGAGGTTTCCTGAACACGCTAGGGTTTGAGCTCGCATGGTGAAGGCTGTAACACTGGGAGGATGGCACTACGGTGCACCGGAGGAAGAGGGGGAAATGCGCACAGAGGAATGGGCGAGGAGACCTCAGTCGCAGCCTGCTGGCAGGGCAGCGGGCCAGGCTCTGGATAAACACGGTCCCACTGCCGGATTCCCACCAGCCAGAGGGCAGCAGGAAACAGCAGGCTTACACAACTGGGACAGAGGCTGGATCGGGACTGCTGCTCCCCCACGACCCAGCTGTCTGACCTTGGGGGAGTCACTTCACTTCCCTGCGTCAGTTTTCTCATCTTATGAAATGGGGCCATGCAGGGCCCAAGGGAGGGCCAGGATGAAATGAGATGGGGCGTGCCAAGTGACCTGCGTAACTGCGAGCTGCTGGATCGTAGTAGTTACTGTCACCCAAATTTGCTTCAGAGCACTTTCAAGGCAAACGTGTAGGAAAAGTCAACACACCCATTACAACAGGTTTGGAAAAAAACTTCGTTTTTTTTTAAACAACCTATTTTGATCCATCACAAAATCCCCAAATCAAAAGAAAAACCATGACACACTAAGAAAATGAGTTGTGATTAAGGGATTCATAAATATATTTATTGGTTTTATTATTGAAAGATGAATGCAGAGAACAGACTTCAAGGAAATCAGCACTTAAATGGAAACGTTAATGGTAAAAAAACGTAATACATTTACATAATTCACCAGCTGTGCATATCTGCTTAGATTTATTAAAAAGAAACAAAAAAAGTCATGCAAATCCCAAAGCTTTCACTCGAACTCTCTGCATCTGAGTTCTAGTGTTCTCCATTCTAAAGCCAGCTGTTTTTGCAACATACGGCGGCAGGCTAATCCTGAGGCTACAGCTCTTTAACAGAGAATAAAGCCGCATGAAAGAAAAACCCTTAATATCAGATACACAAATACAAAAGAGAAAATATCAAGAAGCAAAAGAATCACAGAACTACCAATTCTATTCTAAACTTAACCTCTAACTCTAGCAACAGCTCACTTAGCAGTAGCTTAGGTGCCTCTGTCTTAAAAAATAAAACCATTAATTCTTTGATTACAATTTCCTGATTCAAGGAGCACCGATCAAGCTTTCATATGTTTCCCCTAATAACCCAAGACTATGATTTACATACTACAGAACCTCAAACAAAAGAGGCCTCCAAGCTCACTGCTGAGACCTGCGCCCAGGCAGGCAGCCAGATTCTCCTTGTGCACGATGTGACTGCACGGAGCGTCTACGACCCCCAGTGCCATATGGCTCAGCACCATTTACTCATTCTCATCAGCAGAGAATTACTGATACGGAAGGCACTGCTAACCGACAGGGCCTCCCAACAGGGTTGCACATGAAACAGTTACGAAGTACGATAAAACTGTGACAACACAGCTAGCTTAGAGCACTGCATTTTTTTTTCACTGTAGTAACACTATGTAATTATAGTGGCAGTTCAAAATCAGAATTATTTTCCCCTGCTAACTCTTCAGTTAACAAAAGGGAGGTGGTTCTGACTGGTTTTGATGAGCAGGATACCTTTAAAACAAACACGAAGGGAAACTAAAACAGATATCAAAATGACTCCCTCAAGCTTTTCTTTCTCAGATATTAACAAGCACAGCAGTTTACAAAACAATCACAATTATCCCCAAAACAAATGAATATAATACCAAATCAATCATTTTTGAAGAAAACATAGCTCATTTTCTGAAGTTCTGTTTGGCTTGTGGCTAGTCTTGAAAATATTAAAATAAACCAGCCAGATTCTAACAATACTAATTAGCTGTACAGGACTTGAAAACAGTTTTAATCTGAAATGTTTCACTTCCTCTCCATCCCCAGAGAAAGTAAACAGAAAGAGAAAAGGGAAAACATCGCACAAATAAACACAATCAAAATCAAAGCCTCCAAGGAAAAGTAGCCACGTAAGAGCCCTCGTCTTTCTCCACACTTCAGCTGGCCCTCTCTCGGGGGAAGCTCCCAGCCCAAGGTCGTCCTCCACTCTTCCTTTACCTTCCATTCTCTGGTCACGTCCAAGCTCTCATCAGACAAGGCCATGTGCAGGTATGTCCTTAGATGCCAGGTTGAGTCAGAGGTAGTGCTGGGATGCAGGGTATTTGAGTATGATATGTAGGTAGGTTGAATGAACACATCGTTCTTCTACAAGGATTTACAATGGGGGAGAATGCAAAAGGAAAGATGTACAGCCCTCACTGCCTTGCACTAAGAACTCTGAGAAACTGAGAACACACACGCGCTTGCCTCCCGTCTCCCTCAAGCGCCTTAGTGTACCAGTTCAGGCTGGTTCTCCACAAACGGCAGCACCCCACTCACATAGTAGGCAATGCCCAGAGACAGCAAGGCAATGACAAAGATCAACAGCAGCACCCTCCAGAAGCCCAGGTCCTCTACAAACTCCTGCCATGTGGTGCGAAAGCTGGACAGGACTCCTTCACCTTGCTGTAGGTTGGGATTGAGGAGAGAATGGCTTTCCATGGCACTAGGAAAGGAGGAAAAAGAGAGGGGCATGAAATAGCACACTCCACCCAGTTCAAAAGCAAAAAAACAACAGGGACTGTATAATGTGGAAAAGACCAATCTTATAACACAGCACTTGCAAGGAGAAAGCTGACTTACATATTATCTCCACACTTCTGGATTGACCTACAGATCCCTTTGTGTCTGGACAGTCACCAGACAGTAAGCTGGTACATTGCAGCCATTACACTTGTGGGTTAGCAGCTGGTCTTCAAACAGGTAAAATGAGTTGTTCCACCAAGACATTAAGCCAAAACGTATTTTGGCTATTTTAAATTTAGAGGATTCAAAATGAAGATCTGAAACTGGAGATTTCAGGTTAACGAAAATAGGTAAAGATGGGTAAAACTGGTATGAATCTTGGTGGCAAGTGGGATTTTTTATTAATTTATTGCAATGATCAGACCTGTCTCCCTGCTTTAACTGTAAGCCTTGGACAAAGGCAGCTTATTCCTCAGTCTACGGCACATATGGGCTGGCCTAGTCACTGACTTTTTTATTTTTAATTTTTTTTGGACAGGCAGAGTCAGACAGTGAGAGAGAGAGACAGAGAGAAAGGTCTTCCTTTTCCGTTGGTTCACCCTCCAAATGACCAGCACGCTGTGCCAATCCGAAGCCAGGAGCCAGGCGCTTCCTCCTGGTCTCCCATGCGGGTGCAGGGCCCAAGCATTTGGGCCATCCTCCACTGCCTTCCCAGGCCACAGCAGAGAGCTGGACTGGAAGAGGAGCGACCGGGACAGAATCTGGAGCTCCAACTGGGACTAGAACCCAGGGTACCGGCACCGCAGGCGAAGGATTAGCCTAGTGAGTTGTGGCGCCAGCCCTGAAATTCTTAATTTCCTTCTACTGGCTTTGGTTCTATCTTGTAGCATAAGACAGAATACATTTATTTCTCTTCTGCATAAAGGCCAAGTGTAGGTGAAAGCAATGTAGTACAAATACTACAAAAACACTGATTCTGGTTTTCAAAACTATAGCAATGAGAAATACAACCACCACAAAGGGAAAACAGGACATCTGACTTGAGCAGGCTACACTGTGATGAATGGAAAGCTCTGGGGATTAGTACTCGCAGTCATGTCACATCAGGCAGGCCCAGGAACAGGGTGTCATTTAGATTAAAACCACAATGACCATAATCATATGTCTCGAGCATCTACTGGCTACACAAGGCCGCTACTGCTCCTCCTAACCCCTTCTCTTCCCTTCTCCCAGCCATCCGCACAGAACAGTGAAAGCAGCAGAAAACGTCTTAGCGTCTTGTTCTCTATGAACCACATAGGAACTGGCAGTTTTTATGACCTACAACTTTATTTACTTCTTGACCCAAAGGTCCTGTGGCCTTTCTCAGCGTCCAGGGCTCCTCTGAACCATGGAGGCTGACTCACTCATGGGCTGCTCTGTCTGACATTCAAAAAGAATATTTTTCATATTAACAGATGTTTATTTCCTGAGTAAGAGAAGATTATTTTCAGTGGGAATCTACAATACAGAAACTTCAAAAAATTCAATAAGCTCGAAACTAAGATTAGAACTTTGAGAAGGCCTAACTCACAAACAGACACAAGTTCAGAAGAGGCTGTCTGACCCCTGGTCTTGACCTGACAAGCCCTCATACTCAAAGGCACCAGACTCAACATGAGAACTCAATGTACATCCCCTGACAGAGCTGGGGAACATCTGGCCCATTGGCCAGGCCCTGCCAAGGCAACCACAAGCGGGACTCGAAATTCAGTAAATCCGTAGCAGGCTGATTTTTAAAGAATATTTATTTATTTTATTTGAAATGCAGAGTTACAGAGAAAGAGGGAGAGAGAGAGAGATCTTCCATCTGCTAGTTCACTCCCCAAGTGCCCACAACAGTCAGGGCTGGGCAAGACCGAAGCCAGGAGCCCAGAACTCCATCTGGGTCTCTCACGTGGGTGCAGGGGTCCAAGCACTAGGGCCGTCTGCTGCTGCTTTCTCAGGTGCATTAGCCAGGAACTGGTTTGGAAGTGGAGCAGCTGGGCCTCAAATGGGTGCCCATACGGCATGTCAGCATTACAGGCAGCAGATTAATTTGCCATGCCACAATGCTGGCCCCAGCAGGCTAATTTTTTGGTTGATAATTTTGTATGGCCCATGAATGATGCTATAAATACCCAAATGGCCCTTGGCAGAAAAAAGGTCCCCACCTGTGGGGAGCAGCCGGACTAGACTGAGTTACTGGAATTAAGACTTATTCTATGCATCTGCTCTCCCACAATATGGCGCTGGGAGAGAAGTAAACAGCTTCCGCACAGCTGCCTCCAGTTCAACTAATAAACTGTAGGACTTGCTCCTGATTGGAGGAGAGCAGCGTACTCGGCGTGTGGGCAGCCGAGTTAGGATTGGCGGAGGAGGACTATAAAGGAGGAGAGAGACGGCATGCACCAGGAACATCTATGGGGAACATCTAAGGGAACCCGTGCAGCCCCCGAGAAGAGCCGGCCGGCGGTGTGCCACTCCCCTGCGGAAGTGGGGAATGTGGCCAGGGGGAACTGCCCTTCCACGGAGGTGGAAGGGATAGTAGCCAACCCGGGAAGAACCAGCAGCAAACCCGGGGAGGGCCGAGCAGACGAAAGAACAGCGCAGGGGCTTAGTGTCGTTCCTCCACGAAGAGGGGGAGCGACCATCCTGTCTTAGAGCTCATGAGCTCTGCATCAGTATTCTAAGACTTCTCCAGCTGGGCGCGTGGCTCACTAGCTATCTCCGCATGCGGCGCGGCACACCAGGTTCTAGTCCGGTCGGGGCACCGGATTCTTTCCCGGTTGCCCTCTTCCAGGCCAGCTCTCTGCTGTGGCCCGGGAAGGCAGTGGAGGATGGCCCAAGTCTTTGGGCCCTGCACCCGCATGGGAGACCAGGAAAAGCGCCTGGCTCCTGGCTTCGGATCAGCGCAATGCGTGGGCCGCAGCATGCTGGCCGCGGCGGCCATTGGAGGGTGAACCAACAGCAAAAGGAAGACCGTTCTCTCTGTCTCTCTCTCTCACTGTCCACTCTGCCTGTCAAAAAAAAAAAAAGAACCTTTCTCCAATGGAAAAGCTTTCTACTTTCTGATTCCAGCAAAATAAAATGGTCTGAGTGTGGATAATCTTTTCCTTCATTTTTAAAACACATATTTCACCTATATTGTGTTATTCCATTTCTACAAAGTAAGAGAAAGAACTTAAACTTCAGAAAATATAAAGGAGTGGGGAAATATTTTTCATTAATTTGATTTAAAGGCCTTTGCAAGGCTGACAGATATTATGCTGTATCTCAAGGAATCCTAAGAGAAATGGAAAATCTTAGAGTAAAAACATTTGAAACTGCTTTATGGTCCACTCTAGGAAAGTAATATTCTAGCCAATCCCTTTAAATGCTTTCCTACTTTTTATTGAGATATAATCCATATACCACAAAATTTACCTTTAAAACTATAATTCGCCTGCTGTAGTGCAGTAGGTTAATCCTCCGCCTGCAGCACCGGCTTCCCATATGGGCACCGGTTCTAGTCCTGGCTGCTCCTCTTCCAGTCCAGCTCTCTGCTATGGCCTGGGAAAGCAGTAGAAGATGGCCCAAGTGCGTGGGCCCCTGTACTCCCATGGGAGACCCGGAAGTTCCTGGCTCCTAGCTTTGGATAGGTACAGCTCTGGCCACTGTGGCCATTTGGGGAGTGAACCAGCAGAAGGAAGACCACTCTATCTCTCCCTCTCACTGTCTGTAATTCTACCTCTCAAATAAATTAAGAAAAAACCTATAATTCAGTGGGTTTTAGCATTTTCACAAACTTGTACAACCATCTCCACTACCGAATTCCTCTTTCATCTCCTACGTAAGAAACTCTGCCTGCAGCAGTCACTCCTCACTGCCCTGCCCCTCTGTTCCAGGTAACCACTGAACTACTGGCTCTTTGGATTTGCCCATTCTGGACATTTTACATAAATGGAACCATATAGCACGTGGCCCTTGTGCCGGGCTTCTCCCAAGTCACATGTTTTCAGAATTCATCCTTATGGAGGCATGCACCATTACTTCACTCCTTTTTGTGGCACAGTAACACCCCACTGGGCGGAGAGATGATACTCTGTTCATTCATTCACTCCTCAGCTGGAGTTTCAGGTGGTTTCCATGTTTTGGCTTCTGTGAATATGGCTACTATGAACGTGCCTGTCTAAGTTTCTATATGGACATATGGTTTCAATTTTCTTTGGTATACACCTTGAAGTGGAATTGCTGGGTCAGACAGTAACTCTATGTGTAACTTTTAGAGAAACTGCCAGCCAGTTTTCCACCATGGGTGAATGACTTTCCATACCCACCAGCAATATCTGAGGGTTCTTAATTTCTCCATGTTCTCCATAACAGCTGTCATGGTCTGCCTTTTTGATTAAAGCCACACTGGGGGCTGTGAGCTGGTACTTCACTGGCTTTAATCTGCATTTTCTTAATGGCACTGCTGTTAAACTTCTAAATTAAATTTTCAAGTACTGCATTTCTATCAAGATAGTGAACTTGTGGTGAAGTAAGTTCCTACCTTATGCCTCATGACAGGCATAAGATAGCGTAACTAGGTAATAAAAATATTAATAATTTAATTCTGAAGAAGTGGTTTTATATAATGCTGTAAATAATGTGCATTCTCACCCTGAAGCGAAATGCCAAGAAACAGGAATCAATATTCCCTTGAGCTCCTTAAACAACTTATGACTTCTAAGTTAATAAGTAACTACAAAACAAAGCCAAAAATGTGTTTCTATAAAGAAGTGCTGAGAAACTGGTTATGAATAAAATAAGGGGGGCCAGCATGGTGGGTAAAGCCGCTGCCTGCAATGCCAGCATCCCATTTGGCGCCAGTTTGAGTCCTAGCTGCTTCACTTCCCATCCAGCTTCCTGCTAACGTGCCTGAGAAAGCACTGGAAGACAGTCCAAGTGCTTGGGCCCCTGCATCCATGTGGGAGATCAGGAAGAAGCTCCTGGCTCCTGGCTTTGGTCTGGACCAGCCCATTGCAACCATTTGAGGAATGAACCAGTGGATGGAATCTCTCTATACATATATCTGCTTTTCAAATAAATCTTTTTTAAAAAAATATTTATTTTATTAATTTGAAAGACAGAGTTACAGAGAGAGTAGATTGAGAGAGAGAAAGAGCTCTTCCAACCGCTGGTTCACTCCCCAAATAATTGCAACAGCCAGAGCTGAGCTGATCCAAAGCTCGGAGCCAGGAGGAGCCTCCTCCAGGTCGCTCACGCAGCTGCAGGGGCCCAAGCACCTGGCCTGTCTTCTACTGCTTTCCCAGGCCACAGCAGAAGCTGGATCGGAAGAAGAACAATCGGGACTTGAACCAGCACCCATATGGGATGCTGGCACTGCAGGCTGGGCTTTTACCCACTGCGCCATAGTGCCGGCCCCTCAAATAAATCTTTTTGAAAAATAAAAAATAAATAAATAAATAAAGACAGAGCAGGAAAAAATATATTCTTGAACATTTTTTATGGTAAAGCTTAATGTAATTTAGTATTACTTTCCATTTTATAGAAAATGAAAATAAATATCAATTTATTTTGGAGAAACATGAATTTACTTGTAACAGTTCAATATTACTAAAATGCTTACAGGCATCCTGTCGATCCCAGGTACACCGTGAGGAAGGAGGGCCTGCAAGTGCATCTCTGACTTCCTGCTCATTTTATTTCTCTGCCAACTGTCAGTGATCACTCATGAGAAGCAAGACATTTTAGCAATAAATTTAGCAATAAAATTCTAGATTTCTTTAGGACAGGAACAATGCTTCAAAGTATCCAAACAAATAGGCCTGTCCTTGAAAGTACAATTCATGGCACCCAACGAGCACACCAGCCAGCATACAAAGGAGGAGAGAAGCAACCACGGTACAAAGCAATCAAATGAAACAAGAGCAATGAAAAGCAGCGGATTTGGAGCTCATAAAAACAAGGATCCCAACGAGGATCCTCAACTCCTCAACAGTCTACGTGATCCTGAATTCACGTGCGGGTCAATCAGCTACCGGGTCATCACCTGATGCGGGCCCCTGTTTGTTCTACTCATCTGCCACCTGAAGCTTCGGGAAGAGATGATAGTAGCCTTCCTGCCTCGCTTGTATAATCTGGAAGGCTGAAGCTCCACGGCGGCCCACCAAGCCCAGTGCTATAAAACTAGTCCGGCCTACTGACGTCACCTGTTGAGCCGTGGAGGCTGCGAGAAAAGATGGCCTGCCACCTTTTCCGAATTGCCTGAACTGTGTTCCCCACGGCTCCTGGATGAAAATGGATAAGGGACTTCAGACCCCGTCAGCCCTGACATCTTCACCTCAGTTACTCACAGGAGCCCAAATTCCTTCCATTCCAACCCGTGGGAAAGTCACTTTCCCTTATGTTACCAACAGTGTCTGTGCTAATCCTTATGTTACCAATAGTGTCTGTGCTAATCCTGTTTCTCAGCACTTGAGACCATCTTTCTGGTCATTTCTGTATTGTCCAAGTTTCCAGTCTTACTTGCATTCGATTCATTTTTTGAAACTCCTTTCTTCCTGTGGTCTGTACTTAAACTTCTCTAACTCCGTTTCCCTCCCCCAGACTCAGCTCTGAGGCCCATACAGCCGGTGGCTAACAGAACATTATGTGGATGTGGGGACGCAGTATTTTCTGCTAACAGCTTCTCAACTGTGATCTCTCAATTGTGCTCTGAAGCCATAAGGACCTTTCTATCAAGTTCAAAGGCCATCAGAAACCTGCACTTGAGAGCAAACGAGCACAAAGTTCACAGGGCCAGCACAGAGGACCCGGCCGGGACAAGCAGCGTACTCCTTAACATTCCGTCTCAGGTACCTTTCGCTCTCCGCGGTCTGCATGGTCTCCAGTTTTGAGTGTGTTCCTCTGTTAAATCCTTTCACTTCCTGTTCTTCCAAAGACTCCAGCAATCGGATGACATCTTTATTCACTCCTCTGCGCTTTGCCAGAACTAAGGGAGTAGCACCTTGATGGTTGCTAAAACAAAAGTAAGAATAGAGAGGCCATGATAGCAGTTACACCATATTGTTAGTACCTGTTTGTATAGGTCTCAGCCAAACAGGGACGGGCCTGCTACCTCAGAGTAAAACACAAAGCAGAGCCAAAGTCCAAGCCAGAAGTTGAAATTTTCATTAATTTTTTTCCTTCCAAGGAAAAGGGAAAAGAGAATATGCAGGTAAAAGAGTGGACAAAGGGCAGTAAACAGAAGAGCAGATTAATTGGAAAGTCCAGTTCTGGATTCACTCTTATCTGACATTTATATTTTATGGGAAAGTATATGTAAACAAAGGCCAAGAATTTAAAAAAGAAAGAAAGAAAGAACCAAAGGAGCCTCTTTGGTTCACTGTTATTTAACACGAATCACAGAAGAAAACCCGAATCATGCTGAATCTTGCAGAAAACTCCAGCCACATTTTGTCCTGTGGCAACAGAACCATTCACAGGCTGAGTACCCCTTCTCTGAAGTGCTGGGGACAGAACTGCCTTGGCTTTTGGGACATTTGCATACACTTTACTGGTGGAGTAGACCTGATCCTAAAATTCAAAATGTGAATGCTTCAAAAATGTGAAACGTGGGCACCATGTTGGCCCTGTAATCTGGAGCATTTCAGACTTCTGCATGCAGCCTATCTTGTCTTATCGGATCCAGGGGCACTGCGGCGCTACAATAAATGAGGACGGCACATAGCGGTAACCGAAAGGCCGAGCTCAGTTTTAGAGACGACCTGAACCTTTCCCACTCAAGGACTGCGTATCACCAACACAAACAAACAAACAAACAAAAACCCCATGACTTCTTCAGATTGTCCAGTCTAAAAAGGACTCTGGACCCCAGAGGGTTATGAACCTGGTATATTATGTGACAGAAGGCACGCAAGCTTTGGAGTCCTGGAACCAGTTTCAAATTCCAGTCTGTCACCTACAAGCTGTATGAGCTTTGTGACACTAACTCTTCTTGTGTGGACTAACTCCTCTGTCAAAGGAAGGTAACACCTACCACAAGAGTACTCATTCTGGAGGCTAAGTGAGTTGACATAGCAAACACAGTCCCGTCCATGGGGTTCCAACAAATCTGAGCTTGGATCTGCCCTTTCCCTAGCCTTACGCTACACCTTTAATGAGCAGAAACTGGCTGCTGTCTTCATAGAAAAATCTGTACCTAAAATCAGTGCCTTGTTCACCTGCCTAACAAGGTTTCACCATCTTCAATGCCTTTTGGAGCTTATCAGTACAACAGATCAGTGAGGAAACACAGTCAATGGACTCCGAGATTAGACAACAGTTGAGGGACTGAGGGGAACCACAGAGGACTTACCAAATATCAATTTTGAGTCCATTGGAAACTAAGAACTGGATGGTATCCACATGGCCACAGAGGTGCAGCGCTGTGTTTCCTTGGTAATCTGTGGCCAGAAGGTCAGCACCGAATTTATGCAACAACTGGCAGATGTCCACGTTGCCCCGGGCTGCTGCGAGGTGCAGGCCTGTTCGGCCCCTGCTGTCACGGATATTTGGGTCAAAGCCACTTTCCAGAAGCCTCTTGGAATAATTGAAGTCTCCATCAATACACGCTTGTAGCAAAGGTACATTCGTCTGAGAAGAGTCATTTACAAAAACGTAGGACATGGTTCTGATGTGGCAGATGGACTATGCCTGTAATGGAACAGGAGGTGAGTGAGAGCTGAGGAAGCCGAGCTAAGCCCGGAGAGTACAGCACTACAAAAGCACGACATCTTATCCTTCTTGGCCTCCTGCCTCTAATAAATTATGTTACCAAACCCAGATAGTTTCATGTATTTTATTTTCCATTAAAGTGTTTTATTTTCGTCACATCTGCTAAGTCAAAATTGCAAGTAAATTTACTGTAAAGCTCTCTTTTGTTTTTCACCATGTCAAACGATCAGATAGTTTTAAATGGGAGTGGGCATCTGGGGCTGTGGTTATGTCCCTGGCTGAGATGCCCACATGTTGTGGACCAGCAGGCTGAAGATCTCGCTCGCTCTCTCTCTGCCTTTCAAATAAAATAATAGGATAAATTTTAAAGCAGGTTATCACTGCTTAGATAAGTTTACAGTACTGTCAGAAGACACATAACCTGTTCTTTAAACTTCAAAGAATTACATTTATATAAACGCTACTGCTCGCAGGAATTCCTGTTTAACACAAAGTCATTCCTTTTCACATATTTGCTTCTCCTTGTTCTTAAGCTATTCTGCATGGTAAACAGAACTACCTGCATGGAAAAAATCAAACAGCTTGCTGTCAGTACGGACCCGCCAGAACACTGTGTGTGCAGCCTAAATTTCAAGTGCTCATAGAAAGAGGAAAGCCAAGCAAAGTAACAAACTGAATTTAAAACTTAGAAATATTAAGAAGCCAATTCAGATTATCCTTCTTTTTACAATATTAATCCTATTGTGCATTGCCTGTGCCTATCTCATTATATGGTTTTGCCAAGACGTGAGAGGTGAAGTCTGAAGACGAGCGATGAGGAAAGGTAGTTATGCCTGGGAAGACAGAGGTAGGACATGAGCAGCAGCCTCAGCTGTGTCACCGTGAGGCCTCCTGTCGCCCACCAAGCAGGCTCGCCAGTCTGCCCGCACCTCTCGCTGATACCACTTGGCCCACTGGCATGCCTGAACTCTCAGAACACTCTGCTTACCACAGGGCAAACAACTGGACCTCTCTCTTCTCTTGGTTCATTAAAGAACAAGTCAAAATTTGTCAAGACAAACTTTATTAGGAAATTGGAAAGAAAGAAAATAGGCAAAGAGAAGGTAGGAGACTGACGCAGTTTGAGGGATGGCTCCCTCTCCCTAGGAATGCAAAAGCATGGTCACAGCTGGGCGGGCCCGCACAGCTCATCGGGAAAGTCTGCTTCTCGGGAACACGGCTGAAAGCGGACGCCTGACCAAGGCCCTCTGGCGTCTGACCTCCAGGGGCTTCAGGAAGGCGTGTCTGCAGAGTCTGCTGAGATCCCCGGCCCCTGGTCCTCTCCGCCTGGCTTCTCAGCAGAGCTGCTGTCCCTGTGTCCTTGGCTGCTTTCACTGCACTATGAGGCTGCCATGGGCCTCTGTGGGAAGCAGGGGCACGGCGTTGTTAATGGACTTTATTCCCTCTCCGTACACTTGACTGTCAGTGAGAGGCACCGAAGGACTGTACGCCAAGGACACAGCACGGTCTTACAAGTCATTAGATGGACGGCTGCACAGAGGGGCGAGACGGGAGGCAGGGAGGCCCATCAGCAGGCAGTGTCACAGCCTAGGCGAGAAATGCCGAGGCTGAGCCCAGGCAGTGGCAGGCAGAAGGGGGCCGCTGGCCGGTAACACAGAAGACACACTGAGCGCAGCGTCAGAGTCAGCGGCTGCGGAGGGTGAGGAGCTGTTAAGGATGATTCCAAATAAGGGAAAAATCTGCTTATGATTACGGGTTACAGAGCTCATGGTAAAAATAAACTGCGGATTAGGATGTTACACAACGATCACAGAGCGAAGTCACTGAGGAGGATCTGCACGCCGAAATAACGACTGCTTGGTTGAGGGCAGTCTCCCCATTTCCCCTCCAGAAGTTGCTGGCTTGGCTCGTGAGAAAGACAAAGCTCTCGCAAACCTTTTCACGGAGAAGATACCAGCTATCAAGCGCTTTCCAAGAGACAGTGTGTTCTGCGAGAACAGATAACGATTCACACACAGCTACGAGCGCCTGTGGTTTGCAGGCCGGTCTCTGACTGCGGGCTCAGGGAGAACACAGGCCTGCCTGTCTGTTTTTCAGGTGAGAAGCGGCGCAGTGTTTCTGTCAGCTGCTTTGTGTCCTTGAGAAACTGCTGACCTTACCCTCACATCTAACGAGCCCGGCGACAGACGACGTTCTGCATCCTGATCAAGCACTGAATCTGCAAACCACAGTGCACTGAAGGTCTCACGCGCTGCGAGGAAGCCCACGGCAGAGAACACTCACGTCAGCCTGGAGATTAGATCTTTCCTCCAGCGGTCGCCCGCCCGGCAGTTTCTCTGAATTCTTAAGAAGCCTCCACGAAAACACCCAGCAACGGGCCGGCAGGAAGTGCAGTGCCAACAGGGGGCGGGGAGGGGGGCGTGAAGAACCTGTCGCTCTGTGGAGCTGAGACAGACGCTCAGCAGGGCACCCGTGGGTGAGGCCCAGTCAGGCACCCACAAGCGCTGCAGCGGCAGGCGGGCGAGCAGAGGGGCTCCCTGAGGAGCTGCTCGCGGGCCAGCACGGCACGGGCACACAGACCAAGGGGAAAGGATCAACCGCGTGCCATCCGCGGAGCACAGACCGGACTCTGAAACTCGCTCACTGTTTGGAATTCAGAACGCATAGTTTTCACATTATGAATGGAGGCTAGATTCCAGACTAGTCCACAGAAGCACTTTTTAGAAATGAAATACTATTCATAACGGGGGAAGAAGTAAAAGCAGCCAAGACTTCTATTTAAACCACTTAGGGTACAGTTAGGAAAGACTATTTCTAATCTATCTCGGATGCTGGCATTTAAATCTGAGACTGTCCCCTCCTTTTCCACATGCAGGAACGTCAAGCCCCAGGCCAGCCGCGGTCCTCTCCGCGGTGCTGCCCCTGCCTGCTTTCGCTGGGCCTGCTCAGGCCACACCTCTGTGCACAGGCAGAGCCCACAAGTACCCTGTGTGCCCTCCCGGCTCTTTCCCAGAGGGACCCAACCACTCGAGCCATCACCTGCTGGCTAATGTACTTCCCAGGAAGTACGACTACCTGAGCCATTACCTGCTGCCTCCTGGGTGTGCAGCAGCAGGAAGTTGGAACTGGCAGCAGAGCTGGGACTTGAACCCAGGTTCTCTAGCATGGGATGTGAGTGTTCCAAGCGGCATCCTAACCACTTACCAAATGCCCACCCCAGGATTTTTTAAGTTAAACTGGAGATAACTGCAGATTCCCATGTACTGGTAGGAAATAATACACAGAGATCCTGTGTACCCTTCACCCAGCCGCCCCCAGTGCAGAACTAAGGTTCAACATCACGACCAGAATACTGACATCAAGATACCGACGGTCACCACAGCCAGAAGGAGCGCTCGTAAGTTACCCTTTTATAGCCACGCCCACTTCCCTCCAACCCCACCTTTTATCCCCAGAATCCACTACTTTCTCTTCCATGTCTGCAATTCTGTCACTTCAACACTGTTGTATAAATGGAACCTTTGGGATTGGCTTTTTTTACTCACCATAATTCTTTGGAGACCCACCCAGGCGGTCATGGGTAGCATAATCTGTCCTTTTTATGGCTGAGCAATATTCCACAGTATGGAACAGTGTGCCTACTAAAGGACATCTGGCTGTCTCCAGGTTTTGTGTGCAGATTTTTATGTGAGTTTAAGTGCTCGTTTTCCTGGGACAAATGGTCAGGAGTGAACGGCTGAGTTTTCTGAAGATTCTGCAGCAGGAGAGTGAGCTTGAAGGGGCCTACTGTCTCCCCCGGGCCGAAAAGCACGCACGACCACCTCTGGAGTCATTGTGTGGTGTCAAGTTATTCATGGAAGAGCTTGTAGGGCCAGGCGTTTGGAAAGGGACCAGCAGACGCCCTGGAATCCACCAAAGTGACTGTTTAATGAGAACCATTCCACGAGCAGAGTGAGACGCACCGTAGGAATGCGAGCAGTGAACCAGTAGCTGTCAAGACTCACAGGGGGCAGGATCCCCTCCCCAGTGAAGGCTGCTTTTAGAGGTGGGGAGGAGATGTGACAGAGACGGACCCCCCTGCCCCGGGAGGTGACTTTCCCACTGCTGACAGCCCTTAGGAGGGTGTGGCTACTGCACCCAGATGTGTCTGCAGCTGCACCCCCTGGGTCTGTGCCCCAGCTCACCTACTTACTATCCGTATAACAGGCACCCAGTAAGTAACAATTCTCACCCTTCCCAGGTTGAGCCCCGTCCCCTGCTGTTCTCAACAGAGCCTGAATGAAGCACGGCTCGCCCTGGTTAACAGAGCCATTCCTGGCACTGAGGTGACACCTAGTGGGCGGAGAAGATTTTCAGGAAAGAGAAAGAACCGGTTCCTGGAGGAGGGAAAAACCCACGGGGCCCAGGGCTCGCACAGTCCGCCGTGGGTACAGCCACGCCCCAGCTGGCACGCTGGCGGCTCAGCAGCGCCTGCCTCTTGAGAGACAGCGCCTGCCTCTTGAGAGACAGCGTCTGCAGTGGTGTGTCCACGGAGTGCACAGTCCGCCGTGGGTACAGCCACGCCCCAGCTGGCACGCTGGCGGCTCAGCAGCGCCTGCCTCTTGAGAGACAGCGCCTGCAGTGGAGCGTCCACGGAGTGCACAGTCCGCCGTGGGTACAGCCACGCCCCAGCTGGCACGCTGGCGGCTCAGCAGCGCCTGCCTCCTGAGAGACAGCGCCTGCAGTGGAGCGCCCACGGAGTGGCTCGGAGGCTGACTCACTGGGACTGTTGAAAACACACCTCTGGGGCTCAGGGCTCAGGGAGCTGGCGCAGCCTAACATCCAAAGTCCTCACTCACCCACTCACCACGTGCTCCGTGGCACTGCCCGAGACACTCCACGGGGAGGGGTCGTCACTCTTTGGGGTGAAGCACTGAGATCTCAGCAGCAAGCGCTTCTACCACCAACCTGCGATTGTCTCAGCCCAGACGACACGACGAGGGTTCGGTGGGAGCCTGTCTCGCTGACTTGATGGGAAGTTCTAATACTCTTTTACATTTGTCTCTCAAACTCTGCATCCTCAAACTTAGGTCACTCTATCAAAATAGCAATCTTGATGGTTAAGAACTAATACAAGGCCGGTGCCGCGGCTCAATAGGCTAATCCTCCGCCTGTGGCGCCGGCACACCGGGTTCTAGTCCCGGTCGGGGTGCCGGATTCTGTCCCGGTTGCCCCTCTTCCAGGCCAGCTCTCTGCTGTGGCCCGGGAGTGCAGTGGAGGATGGCCCAAGTACTTGGGCCCTGCACCCCATGGGAGACCAGGAGAGGCACCTGGCTCCTGCCATCGGATCAGCACGGTGCGCCGGCCGTGGCGGCCATTGGAGGGTGAACCAACGGCAAAAGGAAGACCTTTCTCTCTGTCTCTCTCTCACTGTCCACTCTGCCTGTCAAAAAAAAAAAAAAAAAAAAAAAAAAAAAAAAAAAAAAAAAAGGAGGAAAAGGAAGGAGAGGACCGCAGAGAGAGAGATTGTACAATTAAAAAAAAAAAAAAGAACTAATACAAATGGAGAGAGGGTGGCACCATGGCACAGCGGGATTAAGCCACCAGGTATGGCACCGGCATCCCACATCTAGCACCGGTTTGGGAAAGTGGCAGAAGATGGTACTTGGGCACTTGCTACACATGTGGGAGACCCTGATAAAGTTCCAGACTCCTGGCTTCAGCCTGGCCCAGCCCTGGCCATTGTGGCCATTTGGGGAGCAAATCAGCAGATAGAAGATCTCTCTACCTTCTCCCTACCCTGTCAATTTGCCTTTCAAATAAATAAATAAATCTTCAAAAAACATATACCTATATACTCTACTTATAATTTTAAATTAGTTTTCTAGATCTAATATCAATAACCATACACAATAATTACTATTTTTGAATAATTATTATTTATTTGAGAGGCAGAGACACAGAAAGAGCCGAAGAGAGATCTTCATCTTCTGGTTTACTCCCTAAATGACCACAGCAGCTGAGGCTGAGACAGGAGGAAGCCAGGAGCCTGCAACTCCATCTGGGTCTCCCACCTGGATGGCAGGGGCCCAAGCACGTGGACCATATTCGGCTGCTTCCCCAGGCACATTAGCAGGGAGCTGGATTGGAAGTGCAGCAGCCAGGACCTGCACTGACTCTCAGATATGGGATGCTGGCGCCACAAGTAGCAGCTTGACCTGCTGCAGCACTGCACCAGCCCCATGATGTACTGTTTTTCATTGTGCAAGATGATTGTGAAAAGCAAGACTAAGTGCTATATTCTTGGTTCAAATGCACTGACTACTCTATGGCTACGTAGCAATTCTGGTCAGACAGCAATGCACCATACACTTCAGCAAAATGCAAGGAGAGATACTCTGTCAAATCTTTTTTGCCTATACTCTCCACTGTCAAAGACAAACTAAACCAAGAAAATGAATGATGCACAGTAAATGGAACCTCTAAATCTGGATTCTCTAGACCTCATTTGGTTATTCTTATCCATCTAAAAGCATACAGTTGCAAGACACAAAATAATCCCAAAGAACGAAAAGCAAGAACTTCCAATTAAGTTGTTAACTGTTAACTGCCAGTACTTTAGAATTACTGCTCTAAAACCTAAGCTCTGAACACATGCTCAAATGTTGGGCAAGGACAAAGGCCAAGGACAAAAGGAATCTAGCTGTGAGAAAGAACATTAACAACAACTTAAGATCTTTCCCAAACATTAAGAATACTTTTCAAAAAATATTTGAAAGGCAGAGTTACAGAAAGAGAGAAGGAGAGGGGGGGAGAGAGAGATCTTCCATCTGGTTCACTCCCCAATGGCAGCAATGGCTGGGCAGCACAAGCTGAAGCCAGGAGCCAGAAGCTTCTTCCAGGTTTCCCACGTGGGTAGAAGGGCCCAAGCACTTGAGCCATCTTCCACTGCTTTTCCAAGCCATAGCAGGGAGCTGGATGGGAAATGGAGCAGCCAGGACTCGAACAGGTGCCCACATGGATGCAGGCACTGCAGGCAGAGGCTTAACCTTCTATGCCACAACACTGGCCCTAATAATACATTTTTTCAGTTTGCTGGTCTTCAGCAGAGGCAGAGGCTCAGTGAGGTCACCCTGCGGTACGTGGCAGAGGTCTGTAGTATTCCTAGCGAGCCCTCAGCTTCTATACAGGTCCCGAGACAATCAGGAGAAACGTCTCAGACAACGGTCCTGCCTGCCCCTGCAGACTGCACGGTGCCAGCATGTTAATGTCTCTGGAAGTCTAGACACAGGAGAATCCAATAATTCTTTCCTGAACGTACACTCAACTAAGTGCACTGTCACAGGATTTTAAAAGTAATACTTTTTCTTATATTTCTCCAGTGCTTTGAAAAAAGTTTTAGAAAATAAATGGGGGCCATCACTGTGGCATAGCAGGTAAAGCCTCTGCCTGCAATGTCAGCCTTCCATATGGGTGCCAGTTCCATTTCTGGCTGCTCCACCTCCAATCCAGCTCCTGCTAATGGCCAGGGAAAGCAGTGGAAGATGGCCCAAGTGCTTGGGCCCCCACACCAACATGAGATGCCCGGATGAAACTCCTGGTTCCTGGCTTCAACCTGGCCTAGCCTTGGTTGTTGTGGCCATTTGGGAATGAACCAGCAAGCAGATGGAAGATCTGTCTCTGTCTCTCCCCTACCCCTTTAACTCTTTCAAACAAATAAATTTTAAAAAAAGAAGATAAATATGAACAAAAGAAGAAAATAAAATTATAAATAATCCCACCAACTACAATTAACTATTAATAATATTTTGGTGCTATGTACCTCTAGCTTTCTCCCCCCATAATAAATACTATATTTAATCCATACCATATGTATCAATGTTAAGTTTTCTCATCTACTACACTGCAAACACCCTTCCAAGTTACCAGCATTATATAATGATTTTCAACGGTTGTAGAGTATGCCTTCTTTGCACATATGTACCAGTTGTTTTTTTTTTTACTGAATTCCTTAGCACATTAAAATGAATGTGTCCTATATTTTTCCTATTACATAAATTCAAACTCATTGACATTTTAAGCCAATCAAAATGTAGACAATCTAGGGGAATTTTAAAAATCATTTTTGGCTAGATTCTGACTATTAGAATGGGATCTTCAGCAGTGTGCCTGAAATATCTGACATGGATGAAACCGACTGTAACATAGGGCTATGGAACGGGTCCCATTTCCTCATGGGCGAACGAACAGTTTTGCTGTGGTGGCAATCTTGATGCGATGTCATTTTTGCTCACTATAAAACTTCCAAGATTCTGGTTTACAATTCAACTTAAACTGAGCCGGATTTAAGATTCTTTTAAACATATTTTTGAGAAGGGCCGAGGAAGTAAATTCTCAATGATTACATGGCTAGGATGCCATTTTAACCTTTGAATCATCTGTCCTAACTGAAACAAATGTAAATTGTGAATTTTACTTAGGGTTCTTCAGAAAGCATTGCAGCAGCGAAATAAAAGGGGAATTGAGAGCATCACCCTTGCAGGGTCTCCCTGTACTATGAAAAACCGGTGGGAGAAAGTTTTTAAGTAGACCCTTCTGACTTTTACTTCCAAGGCTCAAGCATAATATTAGGTGAAAAAGAGTAGTTTTTAGGAAGATCTGGATCCAACACAGATAGATTTTTACTTTATATCTCAATTTGTAGGGAATTCACATTCTGTGGTATTTGTTTAATTTGGCTGTGTCTAAAAATCTTTTGTCTATCAATCTATTTCTCTATGAGACAGAAAGAGTTCCTACCCAAATGTCCATGATGGCTGAGACTGGGCTGAGTCAAAGCTGGGAGCCGGAAACTCAATACAAGTGTCCCTGGTGGGTGGAAGGGACCCACCCACTGCCGCCGAGGGTGTGAGTGAGCAGGAAGCTGGAGACAGGAACCCGGAGACAGGAACCCGGGCTGGGTTACCAAATCCAGGTCTTCTGATGGGGGAGGTGGGGGTAACCAGTGTCTCAGCTGCCAGGCCAAATGCCCACCCTTAGAATTCTTCACTTTGTCATTTCTTCAATGCCCAGCTAGCAATTACATCAAAATTAAAACTTCATTAACACGGCAAAGATGAGGTTAACCTGGAATGTGTAAACGTGAAACAGGGAACAACCCTTCCAGAAGGCCCGGGTCATTGCATTTAAGCTCACGTAACAATTAAAACCAGGCTAACCCAGATGACTCAGGAGAAGGTCTTAGGGTACTACCAAGCTCACCAAGGAGAAAGAGGAATTCTTGTCTGCAGGTCTGCTCTTAGCCCGCAGCCACGGCTCAGTAACATGTGCGACAGCTGTCAAGTTTTCCTGTAATAACTTACTCCTCACAGAAACCCTATGAGGCAAGTACTGTCATTACCCTCATTTTATGAGTGAGAAAACCAAATTCATCCCCTAAGACTCTTTTCTTGCATAATAAATTACATGGAAGATTAAACGAGGAGAGGGCTGATCTAGCATGCACATGATGATCTCCAAATTCAAAGCGAAATTTTTTAAACTGCAAAAGAGTAAATATCTAGATGGGTTTCTTACTGCCCAGAAGATAGTCCAGAACACATATTCTGACTTCACTCCTTGTAATCACCTCAAAGCAAGCTTTTCAAAGTGGATGAAAACAACAAAGTATTTGTAAACGTCTTCTGCCGTACAGGAAGTGACTAGTTCCTGGCCTGATCATTCTCAGGTATTTCTTACTGGCTGGGATACCAGCAAACACCCAAGTTTTTCTTCCTCCATCATGAAATCAAAAAATACCAAACAGGATTTTGGATATATTTCCAACAATATTATACTACTTAATGATTATTTATTTGTATTATTAAAGCTTACTTACAATTCAAAGATATTGGTTTAAAAGAAATCAAAATCAATTGTTCACCAGTGCTTTGGACACTTGTTTTTGGATGTCTTTCAGCAGTTTCCAAAATCTTCAGGGGCTTCCTTGCCAGGAAGTTTCCATTTTACACTCAGTAATTCCCTGATAAAGACACCAAAGTAAGCAGGGATCGTCCTGCAGTCTTTATACACACGCATGGCTTTTGAAATAAAGTGATTTGTTTTTTAAAGTGACTTTTTTTTCCCAGCAACAACAGCACTTTACATGGGTACTTGGTCTAACAGTGCCACCTTGTGGCCTATCTAGACTTCAAGTTCAAGCCCAGTGTCTGGCACAGGTATAAAAAAAGAGGACCAAATTTTAATTTCTCTTTATTTCGTTTCACAGTAATTATTCTAACTATGAATCTGTAGGAAATCCTGAGTTGCGATGAACTTAAGTTTCATTTCAAAAAAGTTTATCAAGAAAATTAGCGGCATAAATATGATTCCAGATATCTAAACTTAAACTCACCTCAGCACTTAATTTACATAAAGGTACACAATTACTCTTAGGTGTTTAATTAATGCTATAACTAGTACTCAAATAGTATTTTACACTTTGTGTTTCTGTGTGGGT